GCTATCTTTGTCCCAGAGGATACCCACCAAATGTCAGTTTGATCTCTCCTTTATGAGGTGACTCTTTGGATATACGGGGTCAGGGAGCTGCTTGAGGAGACTTTATAGGAGCTCAAGTGCTGAGCTGTGAGCTCTGTTGTTTATTCAGAGCTTCTGGGCAGGTAGGTTTAAGTCTGCTGCAGCAGAACTCATAACCCTCTTTTTTTTCCCAGTTGTTCTGTCCCAGGGAGTTAGGGCTTTATTTATGAGTTTCCTTTGTGCTGCTGCCTTTTTTTCAGGGCTGCCATGCCCAGCAATGAGGCAGCCTAGTCACTCTCTGCCTGCAGAGGCTTTGCTGAGCTGCTGTGGGCTCCACCCAGTTGCCGTGTGAACTTCTCTGTAGTCCTGTTTATATGGGTGTAGTTAGAACTGCCTTGGCAATGTTGGCCCACCTGTGTAATGGCAGACTCTCTGTAATGGCAGGTTGCCTCAGCAATGGCAGGCTGCCTCAGCAATGGCGGACTACCTCTGTAGTGGTGGAGTGCCTCGGTAATGGCGGATGCCCCTCCTCCACAGAGCTGGACCATCCTGGGTTCAGCTGTGCTTGTTGTGAAACTCTCAACCCAGAGCATTTCCAATTGCTGTCTTTTTTTTTTTTTGTGGGGGTGGGAGCAGCTGAGCCTGATCACCTGGCTCCCTGCTTCAGAGCCTTGTTTTTTTTAGTTGAACAGTTGACTCTCTCCCAGGTGTTCCAGTCGCCTGTTGGAAAGGTGCCAGGATCTGTGTGATTTCCCTTGCGGCAACCCACTGTGCCGGTTGAAACAGCGGTGTGAGATTCGTGGCGCTTTTTTGCCCAGGAATCTCCTGGCCTAGCTCCCTGTTTCAGTCCCCTTTTTAGTCTGATGAATCGGTGACTCTACCTTTCTGGAGCTCCAATCACCAGCTAAAAGGGCACCTAGATCAGTGTATTTTGTATGGAGAACTGCTGCGCCGGCCAAAACAGCCGCGCTGGTGACCCATGGGGCTCCTCAGCCTGGGAATCTCCTGGTTTGTGAGCAATAAAAATACGCCTGGAAATGCGGCGTCCACTCACCCTCTGCGCTTTCACTGGGAGTTTCAATCCTGAGCTGCTGCTAATCGGCCATCTTGGATCTTCCCCCTGAAAACAAAATTTTATCTTTTCCACCATAAGAAACACCACAAAATATAATTTGTAAATATAGGGTCATATTAAACTGCTCTGCTTCTATAGGTAATTATTAATATTAGAATTAAAAGTTATCCCAGGAATGGATTTTGATACAGTGACCTTTAATGTGTCATTTACCTACTGGGATAAATCACAGATGTGAATGAATGTTTATCTTCATTAGGAATAATTAATGGCCTAGAAGTATTATAAGAGATTCATATTTACATTACATAAGGATAACTAGTTACAAGGCCAAAGTGCACTGCTTTTTAATCTTTCATATATATTGTGACGTTGCAACTGTTTTCAGCCTTTATGGACTTCTTCAAGCAACAGGAGGAAGGACAACCCTCAGTTCCAAGTGTACATAACTCTAATGGACAGATTTTTTAAGGCAAAAGAGATGGCTGCATATATAAGAAGATATTTTTGGAAAAGATTGTCAAGTTATAAACAATTTACAGATGTGACAAATTTACTGATTTTTATCTTTATTATATTCTTTATTAATTACTTAGAATTTTTCTTACATAAGCTATTTACTTCCTTCTTAAAACTTCCTTATGCAATATATTTTTTTAATCTATGTGGATAGTATTCATTTTTCCAAGTGGCAAATCCTGATTCCTCTCAGACCTGATTTCTCTCCCATCATACTTACAATCATGACTGAATCTTGCTGCTTTTATTGCATATTCCAAATAATGGGTGATTGCTCAAATGACTGCAACATATGCTGAGAATTGTAGAATTTATTTTTCTCTATGTGACAGTGGTCCTTTTTTTTTTTTTTATTTACAAGACGTATTTTCTTCTTTGGCAAAGTGAAAACAGACTGAAGATTTCCAGGAACCCTATAATTCTCTCATCTATGAATCGTTATAAATAAGTGAGAAAAAAATTCTATTTGCCAGCTAAATTACGAATATTTCCATATTATGTTTATTTGTGTTTGGAAAAAGCTTTTTAATTTTACTTTATTTTTCTTTGTTTCAATTCATCATGTTATTTCAGGCTATTTCTGTTAGTATCATCCATTGATTTACTGAGTAGATGTTTATTGAGCATCTACTTTTTACTCAGCACTATGATAGTTTGGTGTTGTGATGCAAAGTTGAACATGATACACAGTGATTGCTTTCATGGATCTTAGAGTCTAGTGGAGCCATACATTGAGATAACTTATGCAATAGGGAAATACACTATGGTATTACTGCATGGACACAAACTGAAACACTGACCTCAAACTGGGAGGGATTCCTGGAACAATTGCCATTTAAGCAAAGAACTGAAATGGGAGGTCAAGGGAGAGTTGGGGAAAGGAGGCATGGAGGTGAGAGAGAATGTGATACCTCGGAGGAGCGGAGAGAGATACTGCTCCTAATATTCCTGCAACAGAACAGAGGGACACTAGCTCCAAAACAGAGGCTGGGTAAGGAGGGCAGTTTGATCCATGGTAAGGGGTTTCACTTTAAGGGTTTTAAGCAATATACGTTGATTTTCCTTTCCCATTTTAGAGTGAACTTGCAGGTGCAGTGTGGAGAATAAATTGGAGGGGGAAAGTCAGGATTTTATAATATAATACTGGTACAGTAGTTGAATATAATCCATCAGCAGTGAGGGTGTAGGAGAGCAGACAGATTTGAAAGATATTAGAGAGGTAGAGATAGAAACCCTATGGTTAACTAGATGTGGATTATGGTGGAGGAAGAAGAGTCAAGAATACCTGCGTTTGCAATTCTGATGACTGGGTAGGTGGTGATGTTATTTGCTGAACTAAGGAACAGAAGAAGGAGTGAGTTTGGGAAGGAAAATGTTGAATTTAGTTTGGGCATGTGTGGCACATTCGTGTGTTCATTGAACAGTTGGATATAAGAGTTCAGGAGAAAGATTAAACCTAAAGTTACAGATTTGGGCTTCTGTAGACTACAAATGATCATTGGGGTCGTGAGAGTAGATGAACTTGCTCAGGAAGGTTAAGTGGAACAAGAATAGAACAAGGCTTAGAACAGAACTTTGAAGAAGACCAGCAGTCAAGGGATGGGTAAAAGAGGAGATGAGAATATGCTCAGAGAAGACAAGTAAAAGACAAAGTAATAACCACTGTTAATAATCACTGCTGGTCAGACGTCAGGAAGTATCGAGGTGCTGATTGAATTTAGCAACTGTGAGGTAGATCATGATCTGGTTGAGAATAGTTTCAGTGAAATTGTAAATATGTAAGTAAGCACTGTACAGTTTCTTTGGTGAATGAGTCAAGATGAAGTAGGAGAGACAGTAACATAGACAATTCTTCATGAAAAGGAGCAGAGCTATGTCAGCTGAAAGTCAGTATGAGGTAGAAGGTTTTCTTGTTGCTCTTATTGTCATTTGCTTGCTCTTTACGTTTGTCTTCTCAGCATTTGCTTTTAAATGCTATGGGAAGGGGAAGGGCAGATGATGACAATTAAGGCAAGAGAAGGAATAATCAATAGAGTAAGATCCTTGAGCTTGGGTTGACAGGTAGATAAGTGGAAGGAACACAGTGTATGAACTGGAAAGGTGGACCATGATCAGAATCTAAATGTCTAATATCTTGACTTAATTTTTTATATTTTTTTTAGAGACAGGATCTTGCTGTGTTACCCAGGCTGGTCTCAAACTCCTGACTTCAAGTGATTCTCCCTGCTTGGCCTTCCCAAGTGTTGGGATTACAGTTGTGAACCACCCTGCCCAGCCTTGACTTACATTCAAAAATAGAACAGTTCTAAAGGATGGCAGGTCAAGGCATGAGAGTGTGTGGTGTGGTAGAAGTGAAGGTCAGGAGAGAAGAGATGAAAACGATTGGTCAAAGTGTTGGATTGGTCTTACAAGTGAAGCTGCCCACATTGATGAGGGGTTGTAAGGATGGGTAAGAGGGAGAATGTCCGGGAAGTGACTAGTGAAGTAAAGGTGGAAGATTCAGTCATGTCCCTTAACCGTGTTCGCTTCAGCAGGAATGCATTTGTATGAAAGGATGTGGAAGTAAGGGTGTGCAGACAGAACTGGGCAGTAAAGCCACCTACCTTCTGTCCTGATGCTATAGCATCTGAATCATGAAGGAGCAACGCTTCAGCTTGAGAAGGTTGTTATTGGGTGAACTATGTTCATTCATTTAATAGTAAGAAATGGAATGCCCATTTAGTGAGGACATTGAGGATGTAGGGGAAGTTTGTTTATCAACCTGCATGAGTCTTGACTGAGACTGGTAGCAGACACAGTAGGATCTAAGACTTCTATCTAGTTCCACAGTACTTGGTGTTCAGGAAACAAGTTTTGGTCTCAGTTCTGCCTAACCAGCTGTGAGACTCTGCATACAGTATTTAAGTGATTTCTTTGATTTAAAACTGATTGGCATTCAAGTAACTTGTGATATTTCAAGAGATATCCATTGATAAAAGTCCAGCCTACTTTATTATGATAGTTGTTCTGTCTTTATGTTAATAGTCATTAAAAAATGTGTAGTACAATACAGGTTTCTTACAAGTATGCTGTATTGATTTAAATTTAAAGATTTGTTGTCTTGGGTAAATTTTTAAGCCTTTTTGGTTAGAACATTTAGATTTTTCCATTAAAACTTTGTGTTTATGTTCACTTCTGTTTATTTTTTAAACCTGTTATCTTTTTTGTTTCTATTTCTTAACTCTCCCAGTGTAGGTGGTAGAGAATGGTAATAACTGTAGAGTAACTTCGATAGAGAGAGATGAAATAGTGACATATTAGTGATACCAGTTCTCTTGTGTGTATGTATTTGTGGTGACTGTAAAGGGAACCCTGGATTCATGAGCTTCTTTGTCTTGATGTTTTTCAGGGACCATGGCTAAACCTCCTGGATCATTAGCCAGAAGCAGCAGCCTGTGCCGCTCGCGCCGCAGCATCATTGTGCCGTCCTCGCCTCAGCCTCAGCGAGCTCAGCTCCCTCCACACGCCCCGCACCCGTCACAGTCTCGGCACCCTCACCACCCCCAGCACACACCACACTCCTTGGCTTCCCCCGATCCAGATATCCTCTCAGTGTCAAGTTGCCCTGCGCTTTATCGAAATGAAGAGGAGGAGGAGGCCATTTACTTCTCTGCTGAAAAGCAATGGTATTGGCAGTGAATAATCTACAGGGCATGTTGGGGCTGGGTTGGGGGTGAGCTGTGAGAAGGGGGATGGGAGGAGTGGTGCATTGTTTCCTTTTTCTGTTGCTACATATCAAATTACCACAGACTTTGCAGCCGCAGACATCACCCATTTTTTAGCTGTTAGTTCTGTACATCAGAATACCAAGCCTGGTGTGGCTGGGCTTTTTGCTCAGGGCCTTAGAAGGCTAAAATCAAGGTGTTGGCCGTGCTGCATTCTCATCTGGAGCTTGCAGTTCTTCAAAGCTCATGTGGTTGTGGTGAACTTCATATCCTTGGCTCCAGGACTGAGGTCCCCTGTCTGTGCTTGCTGCCAGCTAGCTGCGCGGCAGCTGCTCTCAGTTCCTGTGGCTGTCCACTGTTCCTCGCCACGGGATCTCTATCTTCAAAGCTGGCAACACAGAATTTTCCTGCTGTAGATTCCTCCTTTGCTTTGAGTCTCTGACTTCCGTCTCTCTGATCTCTAGACTAAAATTTAAAAGGCTCACCTGGATAATAATCTCACTATATTAAGATCACCTAATTTCGGGCCTTAATTTTATCTGCAGAATCCCTCTTACAGCAGCACATGTGTTTATGTTTGATTGGGTAACTGGAACAAGGTATATGTACACCAAGGGGTGGAAATTTAGGAGCCATCTTTGGATTCTGTCGACCACAGACATGTAGGTAGATATTTTGAGATATAATGGCTTAGAGGTCACTGGACACAGTTGACTCAGATGTCAGAGCATAAACTTGTTATGAACAATTTTATATGTAAAAATTGAAAATATGAGCTTAAATATACTTGAACACAAAGAAATACCAAATATGACTGACCTAAAGATATTTGTTGCCACTTAATGATTTATTCGATTATGTGCCAGTACTTGCTAACACACAAACAGTATCATATGCCAAAGTTTTAAGAAAATGTCAAGAACTTAAAAGGATAAAATTATATTAATAACAATTTTTTTTTTAACAAAATGGGCTTACAGCAGTTCAACCTAATGACATCCATGCTCCATGAAACCTGTTACTTAGAGGAGCTCTGTTCTTAAACCACCTTCCCCTTTAAAAGCAGTATGGTATTGAGTGTTAGTTTCAGGTATTGCCACGTAGTAGCCATGTGGCCCTAAAAGCTCTACCCTCTTCTATGAGAAGCAAAGGGAGTGGTCCACGCTCTATCATGTGACTCATTAGGTGACATTATCATCAAATAATCACTTTTCATTCATAATTATTTAGTAGTAAAAGAAAATGTTATGATTTGCAAGTGATCAGTGTAGCATATTCCTAAGGAGATAATGCATGTTTTGTATCCTCATTGCAGTCGGAGAATCTGATGCAGCTTTGCTTGGTTAGCACTTTATGATTAGCTTTTCGTCTGTCTTTGCAGTATGATCGTAGTCACCAGCAAGATGACTTTACTGGCAGCACTGGTCTTGTGTGGTTTCTGGAAATGAGAGCATCACTGTCTAATAAAACTTTTTGTATTGATGGAACATTCAGTTCTCATTTCAATAGCAATGTCAAAAATTCATAGCTAGCTCTCATAAATAAGAGAAGAACTTGAATTTGGAAAACCTTTCTTCCTCTTCATTTTCAGACTCTCTGTTGAACCACCAGAATCCTTACAAAATAACAATATTGAATATTTACTGATTATTTAATATTCTGTGCCTTATGCACATATATGCTCATTTAAACCTCACTTTGAGTTTTCTTATACAAGTATGAATTCTACTCTATGTCACTCTGGGGAAAAAAGAAATAGAAAATATAGCGTAAGGGGCACACATAATTAAGTTCAACATTCTGAAGAATATGTACTCTGCAAGAAAATAAAATGTGAAGTTGTATTATAATTATCCAAGTCAGATTGCTTATGCAGAATGGGCAGTGCTTTAGATTCTTGTCATTACGGAATTCAAATGTTAGAACTAGAAGGTAACACTAATGATTAATCAAATGTTCTTACTTTAACAGATAGGAAAATTGAGACCTCGAGAGATCAAATGATTTGCTGAGGCTTGTACAACTGATTAATGGTAGGACCAGCTTAGGAACCCAAGTCTTCTGACATAAATCAGTATGCTTTTCACACATTGTTTAGAGTTTAGAGGCTAGTTTTTAAAATATTTTTAGCCTAGCTTAAAATTTCACACAAAAAAGCAGCCAAGCCACATAACAGAAAAGAAAATAAATTCACAAAATTATAACTAAATCAGCTTCTAACTTTGGAAGCTGAATAGCTTCAGGAACAGTAATACATTCTATTCAATTAATGGACAGCCATTTAAAAAAAAAAAAGGCTTTGCAGAAATGCCTCTACCAGTGATTGATTTCTGAGTCTAATTATTTCCTCATATCTGAACTGCTTCTTGCTTTCCATTAGCACTACCCATAATTGAATTATAAAAACATTTGAGAATTATGCAGCACACGGAGGTGTATGTTATGAAACTATTAGGTAGGTCTTTATTTAGGGGAATTTGGACCTTTGGGGAGCTTATAGTATAGTAAAGACAATCTTCATATAGATGTGTGAGTAAAGTACATAGAATTGACTAAATTTAGCAATCTTTATCTAAAATATGGTATTAACCTAGAATATTCTTCAAAAGCAAATGCCATATCTCCTGTAAATGTGTAGGTCAATAACATGAAAATGATAGTAATCATAGGCCATCTAAGGTAAGAGATCATTCAGTTTATTCATTCTGTAAATACGAATTTAGTCCTTGCTATGAGAGGTGCATTTGCCAATAACATGAGCTACCAAGACAAGTGAGACAGGGCCCTGGCCTAGCTCCAGCTGCTAGATGATAATCATATGTGTTCTTGCCTTTCTCTTCTGCCTTCAGCCCTGTCCCTTCTCACACTGTATATCTTTTGCCACTTTTTACCTTGACTCTTCCTTTCACTTCCCAATCATTTCCTTTCATGGAGTGAACAGTATTCACCTCGGGCTCAGTGCATAAAGTGAATGAGACTAAGTGGTGAAGCTCTCAAAAAAAAAAAAAGTGAATAAGATGTGATTCCTGTTCTTTAAGATCTTATTCTGTTCTTTCATTCATTCACCCACCCGTCCATTCATTTGTCCAACACATTTTTATGAAGTACCCAACGTGAGCTTGCCACTATTCTAGTGCAGAGAATGCAGAAGTTAATAAGTCTCCTTGTCCTTAATAATTGCCTTTTTTTCTGGGCATACTGCCTATAAACAAGTTAATATAAAATATCATTTTAGGTTTTGGTAAGTTTTGGGGTAGCAAACAAAGACAGTTGTAAAAGGAAGAGAACGCTGTTTTATAGGTGGCTAGGGGAGATAAGGTGGCTAGGAGAGGCAGCAGTGGCTAGGGGAGGCAGCAGTAACCTGCATGCCCTGGAGAAGTAAGCCCTGTGGAGATGGAGAGTAGATAACAGCAAGCAGGGGGAACAGCAGGTGCAGGGCCCTGAGGGGTCTTGAGGTTGGCATGTTACAGGAACACGAGGGAGCGTGCTGTTGGAGACAGCCAGGGACCGCATGTGCATGGTCTGGTAGGCTTTGACAAGGACTTTGAATCTTACTCTGAGTTTGAGAGAAAGCACTGGGAAGTTTCATGTAAGTGAGTGAATGATGTGTTTTGCTCAAGTTTTTAAAAATCACTAACGGCTGTGTAGAGAAGTAACTAGGAGGGGAGAACAAGAATGAAAGCAGGGAGACCAATTTGGAAGCCGTTGCAATAATTGAGGTGAGTTCCTGGTGGTTCTGGAGGCAGGATGGTAGCTGGGGGTGTAATAAGGAATGGTGGATTTGAGAGAGATTTGAAGGAATGGCTGATGGCATTTACTACATGCTGGTTGTGAGGTTATGACATTTGTTTTTCCACTGTGGAGAAAGGGAGGCAAACATTCAAAAGTAATAATGCTGTGAGAATTTACTGAATGTCTGGTTTTTTTTTTTTTCTGAGACGGAGTTTCGCTCTTGTTACCCAGGCTGGAGTACAATGGCACGATCTTGGCTCACCGCAACCTCCGCCTCCTGGGTTCAGGCAATTCTCCTGCCTCAGCCTCCTGAGTAGCTGGGATTACAGGCACGTGCCACCATGCCCGGCTAATTTTTTTGTATTTTTAGTAGAGACGGGGTTTCACCATGTTGACCAGGATGGTCTCGATCTCTTGACCTTGTGATCACCCGCCTCGGCCTCCCAAAGTGGTGGGATTACAGGCTTGAGCCACCGCGCCCGGCCCGAATGTCTGTTTTTTAAAAATAGCATCATCTGTTTTTCCCTTCCCCTCTGCTGCCATACTCTGCTGTACCTCGATTCCATGCCCCCCTTTTAAATTTGGTAGAACTTAGATTTTAGTGTAATTCCTTTAATGTATATTTCTTCCTTCCTAACAAAGCTATAGTTCATCAAGTTAATGACAAAGGGAGAGGCAGTGACTAGAATTCATCTTTTAAAATATGTCAACTCTGACTTAGAAAAACAGTACTGAAACAAAACATAAAAGTAGCTGAGATGATAGCTGAATTACCTGTAAAATCTAAATATTTTAGTTTATTTGACAAAAACAAGGTATAACTTGTCTGTGTGGTAAGATTTCATCATTATGTTTGTGTTAAATATCAAACATTGAGTTTTGAGAAGCTATATTATTTAAAGAAGTAATGTTCTAATTTTGTTGAAATGCATATAGAATTGTATCATTTCCCTCTTTTAAATTTCAGTGAGCAATGAAAGTTGTTTTAGTTAGAATGTCTTTGAAAAATCTTAAGATTAGACTGATTTAAAACTTTTACCTTTGTTTGTGTTTACTTCAGGGAAGTGCCAGACACAGCTTCAGAATGTGACTCTTTAAATTCTTCCATTGGAAGGAAACAATCTCCTCCTTTAAGCCTCGAGATATACCAAACATTATCTCCGAGAAAGATATCAAGAGATGAGGTGTCCCTAGAGGATTCCTCCCGAGGGGATTCGCCTGTAACTGTGGATGTGTCTTGGGGTTCTCCTGACTGTGTAGGTCTGACAGAAACTAAGAGTATGATCTTCAGTCCTGCAAGCAAAGTGTACAATGGCATTTTGGAGAAATCCTGTAGCATGAACCAGCTTTCCAGTGGCATCCCGGTGCCTAAACCACGCCACACATCATGTTCCTCAGCTGGCAATGACAGTAAACCGGTTCAGGAAGTCCCAAGTGTTGCCAGAATAAGCAGCATCCCACATGACCTTTGCCATAATGGAGAGAAAAGCAAAAAACCATCAAAAATCAAAAGCCTTTTTAAGAAGAAATCTAAGTGAACTGGCTGACTTGATGGAATCCCTTTCAAGTGGCATCTGTAAACTTTTATACCCCACCCTCCACTCCCCACCTTTTTTTTGGTTTCTGTTAATTTTAGGAATGTAACTCCATTGGGGCTTTCCAGGCTGGATGCCATAGTGGAATGTCCAGAAGGGCAACTGTCTACTGTCTGCTTATTTAAGTGACTATATATAATCAATTCATCAAGCCAGTTATTACTGGAAAACCATTGAAATGAGACAGTTTACAGTCATTTCTGCCTATTTATTTCTGCTTTGTTATTAGCAATGTATATACAACATTTTGTTGAAAGCCACTATGGACTTACAAGCTTTAATGGATTCGTAAGCCAGCATGGGCTTGCAAAAATTCCTTGTTTACCAGAGCATCTTCTTATCTTTCCACAGAGCTATTTACATCCTCGACTAAATAACGTAAAAGAAGTAAAACTAATTGCACTACTGTTTTCCAGACTGGAAAAAAAAATCTCTGCAAGTGAAACTGTATACAGTTTATAAAATGACTATGGATAGGGGACTGTTTTCACTTTTAGATCAAAATGGGTTTTTAAGTAGAACCTAGGGTTTCTAATTGACTTGATTTCTGGAAATGAAAACCCATGCTTTTATTATGGGAAGCTTCTTTAACTGCATTTAATATTGTAAAGTTTCAAGCCCCGCTGTAAAGATCATGTTTTGTTTCCCCAGGGCTCTCACTGTGATTTACTGCATTGCAGGCTGTATGATAACATATAAATAAGTTAAAGAGAGAAGGTTCTTGATTCCTTATGCAAGTGGAAGAGTTGAAACTTGATTGAAGGACTTAAAACATTCACAACCTTAAGCCGAGGTGGGGGGATATGGGGATTCAGGCAATTGTTTACAAACTTTGAATAACTGCAAAGGATTTACGGTTTGTGAAAAATTTGTACTGTGGAAAAGATAATAAATTGGAGACATTATTGTGTGGGACTGTGCTGATTTTTGTTGATAACACTCCACAAAAAAACACTATATGTTTTCTGGAGAGCTGTGTAAGCTGTCTTCTGGCTTAATTGCAATATAAGAAATAGTGATGTTCTGGATGTAAGTTGTCAACAGATTTCTATTTTATGTTGTTTGTCATATTTTTATGTAGTTTGAAATGTATAAATGTTCTAATACCAAGATTAACAAATATAAGTTTATGGTGCATTTAGATTGTGTATTAATTTGTTAAGTATGATGTTCATTAAATTGGTGGATTGTATAAGGGTAGCTTTTACTGTTAAAAAAAAACAGTAGAGAGTTAAGTTTCATATAGCAACAAAATATGTTAACATCTAGGGAGTTTATACTTATACCACTTAAAAAATATGCAATCATAAATGATCTGGTTACTGCAGTGCAGATAGATGTTTGGCTGAACAGCTGATACATATTAGTTAGAATGCTTTTCAGCATTATGGCTAAAATATCTGTCTAACCCAGTGCTGTTTAGGTGAAAATGCTAATTGATAAACAAGAAGTTTCTTTTGAAATTTGCTTTAAAGAAATGCTTTAGTAAGAACATGAACAATTTCCTGATGTCTCCTGTAAATTGTGATTGTTTATTCTCTATTACTGTTGTTAAAAACTTGAATGATATTTATATTGACTGATTTTTATATACTTACTAGATTCAGTTCAGTAAGGGCAAACATTGATTGAAATGAACATAGAGTTCTGCGCTAATGATAAGGTAAGATAACCTGAGAGGTAGGGTTTAGGAGCACAGGGTTGAAGGCTGTTGAAGAAGGGGAAAAGTTGTGCATGAAGAACAGAAAAGGGTTCCAGACTGTTCATTCAGAGTGAAAAAACCTTATCCTCCTTTTTCTTATAACCAGACAGGAGGAGTTCTTCCCTTTGAAAATTACAAAAAAAGGTATGAGAACTTTGCAGTTGGAGGAATAGAAAAGGGAAAAGTTGCTGGAGCACGGAGTGAAGATGGGAGGAGCTGCCAGCAAAGCCCACTGCTGCTCCTGGGGTAGAGGGAGGTCTGCAGCAGAACCAGTTGGGGGCCAGCACTGCTGCTTAGAGCGGAGGAGGCTGGCCAAAGGGACTGTGGGCCGTATTCTGTCAGGGAGTGCATGCATTGTTTGTGCTCAATTTCAGACACTCATTTATAAACAAATTTAACCAAGGGATACTTACTGCTTTATGTTGCTTGTGATAATTATTTTGCATTACTACACTATACACATTTGTAAATACAACAGGAAATAACAGTTTTGGAAAGCTACAGTAATTTCTGTATTATATTATTTATATGTGAAAAGTTGGGCATTTCTATATTTTTTTAAATTACCATTTGTTATTTTGACATTTTAAAATTATGGTGTTTTCCTGACTTTAAAAGTAATGTTTTCCTTACTGTAAAAAAAAAAATCGATGATAGAAAAGTATAAAGAAGAAAATAATAAGCAGGTCAAATACTACTACCCCAAATAATCACTTTAATATTTTAGTATGCTTTCTGCTAGATCTTTTTCTACATATTGATGTATATTTTACATAATTGAAATCATGCTATATATTCAATTTTATATCATGCTTTTTCACTTAATATAAGCATTATCCCAACATTATTAAAAAACTTCATGAACAACGTTTTAATGACTGTATAACAATATGCTATTGTATGGATTTACCATAATTTTTTTAAGTATTCTGTCATTAAACATTTGGCTGTTTCTAAATTTCTGATATGTGGAGTAAGAGCATTTCACATTTATTGAGCACTCTATATGCCAGGCACTATTCTACACTCTATTCTCATTTAGTCTTTACACCAACTCTATCAGGTAGGTACTTCTATTATTATTACCATTTTACTGATGAAACGTAAGCCCAAAAACTCAACTTGCTGATGGTTATATAGCTAGTTAGTGATAGAGCCATGTTCTTAATTTCTAAGTCATACTGCATAAATTCCAATTAACACTTTCATTTCCTAGGGCATACAGTTTTAGAAGTTTACAGAAAAATGTAAGGATTTTTAGTTCAAATGTTAATGTATATTTACATGTGTACGTATATATGTGTATACACACACACACACACACGTAGTCTCACATGCCTTGGACATAACTTTTTAAGGTTTCTTATTCATATAACTGTGTTGATAACCACCCTCCATCCTGTTTCAATGTATATGAGTGCCCTTTGACTTCACATTACCCTTTCGATTACCATTTGGTTAAAACTTTGTTAATTTAATAGGTAAATAATATCTAGTAAGGTTGGAAAGTTCTTTCACGTTTTCTGAGCCTTATGTATCTTTTGTTTTAGTGAATTATTTATTTTTCCCCCATTAAGTTCTTGGGGTTCTATTGTTACTCTAAGTCTTTTGCACAGTTAACTAGTCTTTCAAATGTAGCTATTCTTGTATTCTTCATTTACTAACCGTTGATTTCAGAAAATGATACATGTATTTTTCATATTGATTTTAAAGGTAAATGGAAAAAAATAGATTTAAGTTTTAGTCTTATTGATCTCCTGATTCGGAGTCTTGAATGGGAGAGTTTCACCTCATTTATATGGTCAAGGTGGGTTTTCCCAAGAAAGTAGACAAGGGACAACATAGGATCTGCTTAAGCAAATTGTTTAATAGTCTATCACATACTAAGCCTCGTGATAAACTCTGAAGGTATAAAGACTAAGGTGCCTGCTTTAAAGGAACGTGGTATCTAATAGAGGAAACAGATCAGTCAAAAGTCCTTGTAATGAGCAGTGATAGAAATGAAAAGCGAATGTTGTGAATGTTGGGCAGGTGGGGCGGGGAGAGGGATTGTATAGTTCAGAAATAAATTTATGGAATCAAGGATAATTTAACGGCGCTGTTTTGTCAAGGACATGGAGAGATTGGCTGTGACAGATACATGTAGGACCAAGGGCAAGTTAGTTTTAGGGTTTCTACTCACTAGTGGTCTGGTTCCAGCAAATGAGCTTGCAGTTACTGAGCGCCAGGGAAACAACCTGCTGCTAACTGTGAGGGTGCTTACTTGGAGCAAAGTGTTTGCTAGAAAGACTGCATTTGAGCAATCTCATATAAGCCCAGATAGTACTGATTAAAGACAGTTTCCTCCCCATGTCCCCAGCTCTCAAACAAGGTAGGCTTCGTTGAAAGACTGCCCTTCAGATTTATCAGGGTACGCCTGATGCTGTCTTCGATCAGCTGATGTCAAGTGAGTATCAGGCCAAGTTTTAGGATTTGACCTCAGTCCCGTGATTGGGCTTTTCTGGGTACCTACAGAGTCTCAGAAGTGGCTCTCAAAGGGTTCTGTCTAGAACAGTGTTTCTTACAGGCCCAGAAAGGAGATGGTGAAGCCTCAGTTCACATCTGGATTTCCAGTTCATGTCATGTGATTGAGACAAATGCCTCGCATTCTCTCATGAGTTGCAGTGTTGATGGCCAGAGTCTCCAGCATCCAGGTGATCCAGGTTTTACTGGACATGTTGCAGCACCTTCATCTACCTCCAAAAGTGAGGGAGAGCAGTGAGCTGACGGTAAGGGGGCAGTTCACCTCCGCCTGGTGAGAGCTGCTCAGCTCCAGGAAGTCAGTGGCTCAGCCATTCTCAATTGCCAGTCCTTGAAGCAGTGGCCAAGCTTCCGCTTCCCACATTGTGCTGTTTTGCCCTGCCAGGTTCTAGTTCCCTATAAAAGTAGGACTCTAAGAAATCTTAGGTGGGTCAAAATAGTTCATCGCTTGCTTCAGATTTACTCCATTTGATTTGGTTCTATCATTAGCAGCTATCCAGTGTTGCAATCCTCATTCTTCAGAACATTCTCTGTGTACTCTGTAAGCACTGCCTCTTTGATGGAAGCATCTTAGCTCTAAAATATCTACATAAGCTAATTTTCCCATGTGTGAAAATGTCAACTGCTGAAATACTTTTACAGACCTCTGGCTTCTAGGGTGTGGTGGCATCAGATTTTAAGGAAATTCAAGGTCACTAGCTCTAAGGTACTGGAAAATGTTTTGAAAATAAGAAATGTGGCTTTGTTGTTTGATTATTCTCCATGAAAATGCTTTCTGTTATCATTCAAGATGTGTATCTGTAGCAAAAAGTACAAGGACAAGAAATTAAAAGGGGTGTTGCGTGTGGGGTGGGGGGAAGGGTATAAAAGGAAGCCTGGGCGCCATAGTGAACTGCTATACTAGAGGATGCCTTTGACTTAAAGCTAAGAAAATGAACTGTAAAAAGGCCTGGGCGTGAGATCTTGGGAAGGGAGGGAAGGAGAGAGGAGGGTAAGGGTGCATTTGTTGTCAGGTCACCAAATCTTGTCAGTTTCCTTCCTCATATCTCAGGGAATGCCCCACTTCTTTACTGGCCTGGCGATTTGCGTCTCCATTTCTCATATTACTCACTTCAAAAAGCTAACTGAACCCAGCCTCACCCCCTGCTTCATCCTTTCATTGGTGAGCTCTCTAAGTTGCACAGTGGATTTTCTCTGAATAAAATTTTTCTATGTCTTCCGTTGCCTGTGGGATAAAATACAAACTTAACCAAAACCAGCAAATATCCTTGATGTTCTTTCTGTGCCCTGCTTACTCCTCTGGCCTCATGGCTTTTGTGAACATAGCCCAATCAGTCACACAGAACTTCGTGAAATTTCTGGAGTAAGGCAGGCTGCTGCTTTTGCCTGGAATGTCCTCTTTCTTTCTTTCTTTCTTTCTTTCTTTCTTTCTTTCTTTCTTTCTTTCTTTCTTTTATTTATTCATTTATTTATTTATTTAGACCGTTTGCTCTTGTTACCCAGGCTGGAGTGCAATGGCGCAATCTTGGCTCACCGCAATCTCCACCTCCTGGGTTCAGGCAATTCTCCTGCCTCAGCCTTCTGAGTAGCTGGGATTACAGGCACTCACCACCATGCCCAGCTAATTTTTTTGTATTTTTAGTCGAGACGGGGTTTCACCATGTTGACCAGGATGGTCTCCATCTCTTGACCTCGTGATCCACCCGCCTTGGCCTCCCAAAGTGCTGGGATTACAGGCTTGAGCCACCGTGCCTGGCCTGTCCTCTTCTTTCTTAGGCAACTAATGCTAAACCTTTAACTCAGATATCTCTAGGAAGCCCCCAACCTGGGTGAGATACCACTTCCATGAATGTACAGAATTTTCTTTTCCTTTCCCTTTTTTTCTTTTCTTCTTTTCTGAGACAGGGTCTTACTCTCAC